GACCAGTTAAGTCTGGTCTTCTTTTGTGTGTGTGAATTTGAATTTTGGTCTACATTTTTCTCCCATTCTGTCCAGGACCCTCTATTGTGATCCCTGTCAGAATGGTCGGTGGTGGTATCTGGGCACCATCTAGTTGTTTTTGTCTCAAGATGGTGGAGGCTGTGGTACTTGTGGTCCATTAGTCCTTTGGATTAATATTTCCCTTGTGTCTTTGGTTTTCATCATTCTCCTTTGCTCCAGGACAGGATGGGATCAGTAGATGTATCTTAGATGGCAACTCCCAAGCTTTTAAGACCCCAGATGCTACTCACCAAAGTCAGATGTAGAATATTTTCTTTATGAATTCTGTTAGGCCAATTAACCTAGATGTCCCCCCAAGACTATAGTCCCCAGCCCTCAGCCCAGTAACTCAGTCCCTCAGGGTGTTTGGATGCGTCTATGAAGCTTCTGTGACTTTGCCTTGGTCAAATTATGCTGACTTCCCCTATAGTGTTGTACTGTCTTTCCCTTCACAAATTTACTGCTTATCTACTATCTAGTTAGTGGTTTTCCCTTCCCACCGGCCTTCTTCATAACCATCAAAGATTTTATTTTCTGTGTGTAAATCTTTTCTTGAGTTTTTATAATAGTGGTCTTATACAGTATTTGTCCTTTTGTGATTGACTTATTTAGCTGAGCCTAATACCCCCCAGATTCATCCATGTTGTAAGATGCTTCGCAGATTCATCATTGTTCTTTATCTTTGCATAGTATTCCATTGTGTGTATGTACCATAGTTTGCTTATCCATTCTTCTGTTGATGGGCACTTAGATTGTTTCTGTCTTTTTGCTATTGTGACTAATGCTGCAGTGAACATGGGTGTGCATACGTCTATTTGTGTGATGGCTCTTATTTCTCTAGGACAGAAAAAAATTTTTTTAAGTCCTTAGGGACTTGTGGGACAATATTGTATTGGAGTGATCAGAGTCCAGAAGGCAAAAAGGAAGAATGAGGAATAAAAAAAATTAGAAGAAATAATGGTGGAAATTTCAGAAATTTGGTGAAAAACATCAACCTACAAAATCACAGAAGCTCAGAGAACACCAAGTAGGATTAATACATCTAGTACTTTGTAATCCGACTGTTGTAAACTAAGATAAAGGAAAAGTCTTAAGGGCAACCAGAGGAAAACAACCCATTTTTTACAAGGGATTTGAATGATTATTGAATTCTCATCAGAAACTGTGGAGGAAAGAAGAGAGAGTAATAACGTGTTTACAGTGCTGGAAAAAAAAATCAAACCACACACCAATGTTCATTAAAACATTGTTCACAATAGCAAAAAGATGGAAACAACTTAATTGCCCACCAAGAGATGAACCGATAAACAAAATGTGGTACATAAAAACAATGGAATACTATGAAGCTATAAGGAATAATGATGAGTTCTCTAAACATCTTATAACGTGGATGAATCTGGAGGACATTATGCTGGGTGAAATCAATCAATCACAAAAAGACAAATATTGTATGATCACACTTTTATAAGCAGATAAGAATAGATATATATATACAGAGACCAGCACTCACTGGCGGTTACCAGGGGGTGGGAGGGAACATGAGGAAGCACTCTCAAGATAGTAGACCCTTGTTATTTTTGCTGATGGGAAAGGTAGCATCGAATGTGGGTGAAGTACAGCTTGAACCAAGGTAAATGATGTCACTAAGAAGTGCTTATGTAGAAATTGTTAAATGGGAAACTAATTTGCTATGTAAACTTTCACTTTAAACACAATAAATACTATTTAAAAAACAACAAAAAGACCAGAATTCTATATCCAATGAAAATATCCTTTGGGAATGAAGGAAAAAGGAAGACATTTTCAAAAAAAGAAAACTAAGTGCGTTAGTTGACAGCGAGAAATGCTAAGGAAGTTAGTTTTTCAGGCTAAAGGGAAATGAAACCAGCTGAAATTTCAGATCTTCGGGAAGAAACTAGACACACAGGAAGTAGTGAATATGTGTGTAAGAGATTTTTTTTTGTCTACCTCTTAACTAAAAAAAAAAACACATTTGACTGTTTAAAGTGAAAATTTTAACATCTCTATACATTATAAACCCCACAAAACACATGACAACTATAGCATAAAGAAATCGGGGGAGGGGTATTTTTTGTAGTGAACTCATACAGCTGCAAGATTTCCACATTTTACTTGAAGTGGAAAATTATTACCTCTCAAAAGATTGTAAAAAGTGTATGTGGTATCTTATAATTCTTAGACCAAATCAAAAACCAAACCCACTGCCACTGAGTCGATTCGGACTCATAGCGACCCTATAGGACAGAGTAGAACTGCCCCATAGGGTTTCCAAGGCTGTAATATTTACAGAAGCAAACTGCCATATCTTTCTTCCTCAGAGCGGCTGGTGGGTTCGAACAGCCGACCGTTAGGTTTGCAGCTGAGCCTTTAACCACTGGGCTGCCAAGGCTCCTTATAATTCTTAGAGCAACCGCTCAATAAATGATGCAAACGGGTATAGTTAAAAGGCTAAAATATAAATAAACATGGAATTAAAAAAATATGCAATTAACAACCCCCCCAAAAAAAAAGCAGGAAGGGGAGAACAAGACCAACAATCAGAGGGAACAAACCGGAATATTAGTAATATATAACACATGAAGAACGTGAACAATCATTCAAAAGACAGAAAGAAGGAAAGGACCAAACTGGATGTGAGAACAGACTCTGAAATTTGCTCTTTAGTGCAGAGTAGAAAGTAAGGTTGTTCTTATGTGTGGTCGAGTTGATTCCAACTCATAGAGACCCCATGTGACAGAGCCAAACTGCCCCATATGGCTTCCTAAACTGTAATCTTTATGGGAGCTGATCTCTAGGTCTTTCAACCATGGAGCTGCTGGGTGGGTTTGAACTGTCAGCCTTTCCGCTAGCAGCTGAGATCTTAACCGCTGTGCCACCAGGCTTCCTTAGAAAGTAAGATGTTGTAGTTGTGTGCTGTTGAGTCGATTCCGACTCATGGAGATACATGTGACAGAGTAGAACTGCCCCGTAGGGTTTCCTAGGTTAATCTTTATGGAAGCAGATCACCAGGTCTTTCCCCCACGGAGCTGCAGGTTGAGTTCAAACCGTTGACCGTTCGGTTAGCAGCCGAGTGCTTAACCACTGCGTCACCAGGGCTCCTTAGAAAGTAAGGTAGTGCTTAAAAAATACAATGATGGGGCTACGTCCCTTTGACACTGGAGGCAACTAAAAGGGCTCTCAAAGCTGGAATAATATGAGCAACAAAATTGAATAGTATTGGTTTATAACCCAGAGTATAAAATAAATATCCATGAGCCTATACTGATGATAAATAATTGAATAAATAAAAAAAGATTGAGAATAGATAAATCTCCTATGCAGAAGAATTCCAAATAATTTATGGAGATACTCTAGCCTCAAGGATACTCCTCACTCCTAAACATGAGCTGTGCATGGTGACTTCCTTCCAAAGAGTCCAGTATGGACGGGGGAGGAAAAGAGTCATTTGACGGTGGAGAAACCTGACAAACACTACCTCTTTCAGGTAATCAAGGTCAACATCAACAGTGATGGGTCACGTTGATAATATGCACCCTTGATAGGATCCGATGGGAATGGCACTTGCCCACTGTGGTCTTCTGCTCCAAGTCCATAACCCGAGTCTAATCATGATGAAAACACCAGACAAATCTCAGTTGAGAGACATTCTACAAAATATCTGACCAGTACTCCTCAAAGCTGTCAAGGTCAACAAAAACAAGGAAAGTCTGAGAAACTATTACAGCCAAGAGAAGCCTAATCTTGGTCTCTGTCCCCCTCTCTCTGGGTCTCCGTCCTCCTCTCTCTCTGTGTCCCTGTCCCCCTCTCTCTTTGGGCCTCTCTCTCTGTCTCTGGGTCTCTGTCTCTGTCTCTGGGTCTCTGTCCCCCTCTCTCTGGATCTCTGTCCCCCTCTCTCTGGGTCTCTGTCCCCCTCTCTCTCTGCCTTTCTGTCTTGTCCCACTAACCAGGAACACCATGGCCTGCCCACAGGCCCTGTAAGGTCTACCCCTGTTCTCTCTGCCCTCACCTCCTATTCCTCCACTTACTCATGGAGCCCCAGACACACTGGCCTCCTCATTGCTCCGCAGACACACAGGGCTTAGTCCTGCTCCAAGGCCTTTGTACTTGCTGTTCCCCAGACCTCCCCTGGCTCGCTCCCTGGCTCTATTTACCAGAGAGTCCATTCACGACCACTCAGTTTTCAGGTCAACCTCACCATCACTTACCCTGTGGCATCTCCTCAGTGTCTTTCACTCTGTGACATGATATTTTTTGTGGATGTGACTATGCTTCCCCAAGCTTGGCGAGGGCAGAGTTTTTTGTCTGGCTTGTTCAGGGTCTAGGCTGGGTCTAGGCTGCACTTTTAATTTTTCTTCCCCAGAACACCCTCGAACCCTGCCAACACCCAGCCCCCTTCTTCAAATGCCCTGACCCCTCCCTCAGTGCACATCTCGGCAACTCCGAGCACGCTCCGCTTCCGGCCCCCAGTTCTTCCCAAGACCGCCGTCCCTGCTCGGAGAGACAGACACACAAACGCAGCCCAGCACTGGATTTTATTGCCTCTCTGACGTTGCTGGGCCGGGCGAGGCCGGGGTGTGTTTCTTGGTCTGGGTGGACTGAGGCTCAGATTTGGAGCTGGTGGGGAAGAGGGGGAGTGGAGGTTCTTGGAGACTGAGCTTTTGGGATGAGGGTCTTTGGGTCTAGGCTGGGAGATTCTGCCAGTGAGAAATGGGTGGGGACTGTCCTCGAGTCTGTGCGAGCTCCTGGTGGGAGGGTGAAGGGTGTCTCTGAGAGATGAACCGGCAGGGAGCCCCCGTGCTGCGTCCACATCCTGCAGCACCTGCAGAGGGGGCTAGCCAGTTCAGAGGGTCGTGACCACTGATGAGGGGCGTGGTTAGAGTGAATGGGGCGCGGTCGTGCCTGAGGGGCGTGGCCATGACTGAGGGGGCTCGAGGCTGTAGTGGGCACATGGCGCTCACAGCTCGTCGTGGGGACGCGTGAGGTCTTCACCGTAGTTGGTGGCCTGGCTGCCCACGAACATGTTCCAGTTACCCAGGATCTCGGCCTTGCTCAGACGGCCGTCCTGCAGAAGGGTCAGAGATCAGCGGGTGATGGGGGGCCTTTAAGATGAGACCCCTCCCTGAATCTAAGTTGGTCCACCAGGTCTCCAAACTCCCTCTCTCTGGGTCTGTCTCTCTCTCTCTCTCTCTCTCTGGGTCTCTGTCCTCCTCTTTCTCTGAGTCTCTGTCCCCCTCTTTCTCTGTCCCCATCTCTCTGGGTCTCTGACCTCCTCTCTCTTTCTTCTGCCAAATAGGCCCAGATCTTGCTTATTTCGGCACACTGGGACTCCCCCATCCCGAGGACACCGGCCCCGTCGGCACACCTTGTCTGTGTCGCTCTCATACAGCAGGTGGTTGGCCTCCACTAGCGGCTGGTCCTGGGCAGGCGGCAGCACCCAGTGGCCCACCTCTTTGCTGTCCAGGTGACCGTCCTTGTTCAGATCCCGGAAATCGCGGAACTGCTCCCGCTCCGTCTGCACCCAAGCGGGCTCTTCCTTCCCCGGCTCCTCTGAGTACAGGTCCGCTGGAGGCAGGAGAGGGGGCAAGATCAGGGGCTGCTCCTGGCCACCCAGACCCGGGGTTCAGACCTGATTCTGGTGCTTCCAGGCCGAGCGCCCTGGGGCAACTCATTCCCCTTATATCGCCTCAGTTTCCTCTTCTGTTTAATTGGGATTAATAACAAAACCACTTACAAACTATCTTTTTAATGACCTTGAAAGAGTGGGTATATGGGATCACACAGTAGACCCTTAATATGAAGATATACGAGTGAAGATTTTTTCTGGCCAGATAACAGGATAAAGCTGTAATTAGAACAGCAGCACCAGCTCATTCCCACAATCTCCTTGAAGATTGTTGGATCCATTGCTGGTGCTGGTGAGATTGTAAAATGGGGCAGCTGTTGAAAAAGACAGTTTGACGGTTTTTCAAAAAATTAAACAGAACTACCATGTTGTTGTTGTTGGGGGCTACAGAGTCGATTCCAACCATAGTCACCCCATGTGACAGGGAAGAACTGCCTCATAGGGTTTTCTTGGCTGTAGTCTTTACAGGAGCAGATTGCCAGGTCTTTCTCCCACGGAGCCTTTGGGTGGATTTGAACCACCAACCTTTAGGTTAGCAGCTGAGAGCTTAGCCACTGTGCCACCAGGGCTCCTTAGAACTACCACATGACCTAGAAATTGCACTCCTAGGTATATACCAAAAGATTTGAAAGCAAGGACTCAAACAGATACTTGCACACCAATGTTCATTGCAGCACTATTCACAATAGCCAAAGGGGGCAAACAATCCACATGTCCATCAACAGACGAATGGATCAACAAAATGTGGTCTATCCACACAATGGAATATTACTCAGCCGTAAAGGGAAATGAAGTCCTGATACATGTCACGACGTGGATGAACCTTGAAAACATCATGCTGAGTGAAAGAACCCTGACACAAAAGGATAAGTATTGCCAACTGTTCCAAGGGGTTGGGGTTGAGAACCACTGGGCTAGAGTAGAGGCCAAGTCCTCACCATGGCCCTCAATGACCTTGTTCCTTCTCTGCCACACTCCCCTTCACTCGCTGGGCTCCAGCCACACTGACCTCCTTGCTGTTCCTCAGACCCGCCAGGCACAGTCCTGCCTCAGGACCTTGGCACTGACTGTTCCCTCTGCCTGGACCACTTCTCCCCAGGCTCCCCCAGCTTGTTGCTTCCTCACTTCATCCTCGTCTCTGCCTCTATGTCATTTTGTCAGGGAGACCCCCCCCACCAATCCCTTTCGATGCCCTCCTGTATTTTTCTCTGTAGTGCCTTACCTCATCTGGTGTGCTATATATGTGGCTGATTGATCTCGCCCCTAGTCTGTCTCCTCCATGAGGGCAGGGACCTTTGTTTGGTTCAAGTCTGTCTCCTCATGGCCCAGAACATTGGGTGGCACACAGCAGGTGCTCAATAACTGTTTGGAGGATGCATGAGCCCAAGAAGCACCTCTCCCCCCACTTTAGAGGGCCAGTACTCTCTTATGGGGTGTGATGGCTAATCGTATGTGTCAGCTTGGCTAGGCTGTGGTTCCAGTTGTTGGCCAAACACTAGTCGAGTTGTTGTCATGGAGTAGTTACGTGTGATTCAATCAGTTGGCCATGGGTAAGCAGATGCCTTCCATAATGTAATGTAATCACTTTCTATAATGTAATGTTCTCACATCTAATGTAATGTAATACAGTCAACTTTCATAATGTAATGTAATGACCTCACATCAAATGTAATGTAATTTAATCACCTTCCATAATGTAATGTAATCACCTTCTACAATACAATTTAGTATAATGTAATCAGTCAGTTGAAGTCATACCAGTGTAGGGTAGATCCTAAACCTAATCATTTCTGAGTTATCAAAAGACCAGAATACACACACACACAGACACGGAAAGACAGACGCCGTGTGAGGATTGTCTACAAGCCAAGGAACGGTAAGGATCACCGGGCAGACACCAGAACCAAGAGAGAGGCCCACAGAACCACAGGAGGAAACACAGCTGAGACCCTGATTCGGACTTCTAGCCTCCAGAACTGTGAGACAATACACTTCCACCCACTGGTGGTATCTGTGATACAGCAGCACTAGGAAACAAGATAGGGTGTTATTCATGGGGCTGCCACCCAGCTCAGGGAAGACGGACATCCTGGGGGAGGGAACTGGGTCCCACTCACCGATGTACTCCTCCACTTGGACGTAGCCATCTTTGTTCTTGTCCAGGTCCTCCATTGTTTCCTGGGGAGAAAGAGGCATTGGGGCTGGGGGTCCATGCCCCTGGATCCCGAGGGCAGCTGTGAGGTTCTCTCAGGGAATCTAGTACTGGGGAAGCCGTGGGGGGCAGGCATTGGAGCAGTCTCAACAGGGCAGAACTGCCCCCAGGGGGCGTTTGGGAAATTTGGGGGTGTCACAATGACTAGAGGCACCACTTGATTTAGTGGGCGGAGGCCGGGGCACCACATGTCCTGCGATGCCCAGGTTGGCCCCACACACAGAGGGCTGTCCTGTGTCCCAACTTTCTCATGCCCCAGCAAACATTCTTGAAGCTGAGAAACCTCTTGATGTTAGCAGAGTGTAGTCCCTAACTCCACCGCTGTCTATCGCTTTGTCGTGGCTTGTGTGTTGCTGGGATGCTGGGAGCTATGGCCACCAGTATTTCAAATACCAGCAGGGTCACCCATGGTGGACAGGTTTCAGCTAAGCTTCCAGACTAACACAAACTAGGAAGAAAGGCCTGGTAATCTAGTTCCAAAAATTAGCCGATGAAAACTCAATGGATCACAGAATATTGTCTGAGACATCAACTTGCTTAATTTGGACATGTCATCAGGAGGGACTGATCGCTGGAGAAGGACATCATGGTTGGTAAAGTGGAGGGTCAGTGAAGGCGAGGGAAGCCCTCAATGTGATGGATTGACACAATAGCCACAGCAGTGGACTCAAACATACCAGTGATCATGAAGATGGCACAGGCTGGGCAATGTTTCATCCTGCTGTACATGAGGTTGCCGAGTCAGGACGGACTTGATGCAACTAACAACACTCAGTTGCCATCAAGGCTATTACGACTCTTAGATACCCTCTAGGACAGACTAGAACTGCTCCATTGGGTTTACAAGGCTGCAATCTTTACAGGAGCAGACTGCCACAGCTTTCTCCCACAGAGCTGTTGGTGGGTTCCAACCACCGACCTTTGGGTTAGCAGTTGAGGGCTTAACCACTGCGCCACCAGGGCTCTGTTTTATGTATGAACACAACGTGGACCATATAAATACATATTCGACACCTCTGCTCTTGGCTTTTTTCTGCACTTCTTGAGCAGAACGGCTCCTGTTTCCCAACTTTCACATTCAAACGTACCCACTCTACGACTGGGCAGTCGTCTGATACTCCTCTATGTCTTCTAGCAAAGTAGAACCCCAACATTTTAGAGCTGATAGATAAAATGCAGAATACTCAATTACATTTGAATTTCAGATGAATGACAGATAATTCTTTAGTATAAGAATGTCCCTCTCAATATCAGTATTGGGGTTCCCTGAGGCACTTCTGAAGGAGCCCTGGTGGCACAGTGGTTAAGAGCTCAGCTGCTAACCAAAAGGTCGACGGTTGGAACCCACCAGCCGCTCCTAGGGAGAAAGACGTGGCAGTCCGCTTCGGTAAAGATCACAGCCTTGGAAACTCTATGGGGCAGTTCTACTTCGTCCTACAGGGTGGCTATGAGTTGGAATCGACGCAACAGCAACAGTTTTTTTTTTTTTTTTGAGGCACTTCTGCGGGAGTTTTCTAAGGGTGGGTTAGGGGCCTGGTCCCAAATGTGATTGCGGGGAGCGAGACAGGAGGCTGGATAAGAGATTAGACTCTGGGGGTTAGGAAGTGGATATGAGAGACGCTGCCCTCCGTATGGTCTGCGTTTGGGGTCTGGGTTCCCCAGGAAAGGCTCTGGAAGGCAGGTGACTGGATCTCCCAAGGTAAGCACTGGGAGGTTAGACCCGGGATCAGAGGCCTGAGAGGGGGTGGGAGGTAGAGAGCTGGGCTTCTTGGGCCCTCACTCACCACAATGACGATGTCCCGCATGTGAGGGAACTCCTCAGGGTGCAGGAAAGCTGTTAGCTCCTCCCGAGTGGCCACTGAATCCTTGTTCTGGTCGGCTGCCTGGAAACGCCGTTCATCCCGGGCCAGCATCTTCTTGTACGTCTCTGCATCCTCCACATCATGAAATTCTTCACCTGTGGAAGGAGGGACCTTGGTGAGATGTGCCTTAATGAAGGTAATAGTGGGCAGGTTAAGAAAGGACGAAGGGGTATAACTAAGGGGGTCAGGGTGGGAGACTTCCACAAAATTAATAATAATTAATATACATATTAATAACGTACATACGTGTGTATTACGAGAAGCCCCGGTGACACGGGGGTTAAACGTTCTGCTGTTAACCGAAAGGTTGGCAGTACAAACCCACCAGCTGCTCTGTGGGAGAAAGATATGGTGATCTGCTCCCGTAAAGATTACAACCTTGGAAACCCTATGGGGCAGTTCTACTCTGTCCTATAAGGTCACTATGAGTCAAAACCGACTCAAGGGCAACAAGTTTTGTGTGTATTATACCAGTTGTCAAGTTGATCCTGACTCCTGGTGACCCCCATGTGTGTCAGAGTAGAACTGTGCTCCACAGGGTTTTCAATGGCTGATTTTCCGGAAGCAGATCACCAAGCCATTCTTCTGAGGTGCTTCTGTGTGGACTTGAACCTCCAACCTTTCCATTTGCAGCTGAGCATGTTAACCATTTGCATCACCCAGGGACTCCTATATGTATAGTAGCTCATTTGTATTCACAGCTTATCATATGCTAAGCGCTTTGCCTACGATATTGCACTGAATTCTCACAAAAGGCAGATAAAGTGGGTTCTTTCATTTATTCTCACTTTATAAAAGAAAACTGACCCCCAGAGAGAGGAAATCACTTGTTCAAGCTCAGTAACAGTGGACTTTAAGTTGACACTGGCCCACTGGACTTCGAAGTCAGTCTAACGCAGTAGGTTATACTGACTCTGATTGCCTGACCAAGAGTTGGGCAAGGGCATTTTACACAGACAGGAACAGCATGTGTGGAGTGTGGGCGTTTGAAGAGCTTGGTGAGTTCAAGGAAACCCTGGGAGATCCACATGGCTAGGGTAGAAAGTGCAGAGAAGGGACTCTCTCCTGGGTGTGCTGGGGAGCCATGGGAGGGCTATGAGCAGGGGAGGGCCAGGGTCAGCTCCAGGTGTAGAAAGAACCATCTAGGGTAGTGTGGGGGTTGGGCTCGAGGGGGAGACTAGAGGCCAAGAAGCCAGGTAGGAGGCTGGGACAACGGTATAGGAGGGAGGGGACAAAGCCTGTGTGGGTCCAGGACTGGGGCTGTGGGACAGAGAAACCAAAATCAAAAACCAAATCCGTTGCTGTCAAGTCAATTCCGACTCACAGGGAGCTACCCTTTAGGACAGCGTAGAACTGCCCCATAGGGTTTCCAAGGAGCGGCTGGTGGATTCAAACTGCCGACCTTTTGGTTAGCAGCTGATCTCTTAACCACTGCACCACCAGGGCGCCGGGGACAGAGAAGAGGGACCAAAAAGAGTTGGGGGCAGGGTAAATCGCTTTGGGGTTCTCAGGATAAGAGGTCAGAGACGACAGAGGCCAGGATGACAGGGCATGGAAGTTAGGTGTTCCTGGTCAAAGATCTGAAGTCCCCCAGTCACAGGGTCGCAGGTCGTGGATACCAGAATAAGAGGCCAGAGGTCAAAGGTCATGGATCCTAGTACTCAGGATGAGGGAATCAAAAAGGTCAGGGTCAACAGTGTGTGTGGCGGGGAGCAGGAGTCGCGGTCTCGCCACCCACCGGGCGCGTAGTGGCCATAGGTGGCGTTGCGCAGCTCCTCCCAGCCCACAAGTCCGTCGTGATCCGTGTCGTACGTGTCCCAGGCTGCGCTCACCGAGTCCCGTATGTGCCGCTGCTGTGTGTGCGCGATCCACGCTCGGAGCTCAGCCAGAGATACCCAGCCGTCCCCGTCCCCAGCACGGTCCATGCGGTCCACGATCCGCCTGCGATCCGGGGGTGGGGCACACGTCAGTCTAAGGCCCCACCCACCCTCATTTAGGCTCCGCCCCTCGCATAGAGCCACGCCCCCACTCCAACACACCCCTATATAGAGCTGAAAAGGCGGTCCACGCTCCGCCAGCAACAGGAGAGGGGCACGTGTCAATCTCAGGGCCGCGCCCACCTCCGGTCCACCTCCCCTCCATCTAGGCTCCGCCCCCAACGCGAACTACACATTTCAAGCATGTGTCCGAAGATACCAAACGGAGGGGTGGGGTGAAGGACCTACGTCAATCCAGGACCACACCCTCTACTCTGGCCCCGCCCCTCGGTCCAGCACGTGCTCTATCCACCTTTCACTTGACTGAATTGGAGTGGGGACAGGGAGCGGAGCACATGTCCCACGCCTGACTCTGAACTCCGACTACCACGGCCAGCCACGCACACACCCTACTTCTCCCTCTCTCAGGCCTCGTCTCCTAAGCTTCGCCCCCTTCCCGGCTCTGCCAGTCTCAGCACGCTCCCCTCCAGCCCCGCCCCGCGCTCCGCCCCGCGCTCCGCCCCGCCCCTTTCCCCTCTTGGCTTCCCCCTCCACCAGGCCTGCCCGCCCTTAAACCTTTGAGCTCCTCTCCCAAACCCTTTGTAGGCTCCGGCCTGCTCCTATGCACCTCCGTGAGCCAATCAAACCCCTCTAGGCCCCGCCTCACGTCTCAACTCCACCCTCGCCTGCCGGCTTCCGAGCCCCTCTTCTCTCCTCTGGCCGCGCCCTGCCACGGTCCTGGCCCTCGCGCAGACGCTAACACGCCCCACAGGGGGGAGTCCTCCCTGTCATCATCCCACAGCCCCCGCTGTCCAGCCCCCAGGGTCGCATCCGAGACGGCTTAGCCCTCCCCGCTCCCGCCCGGTCGCCGCCCTCCTCCCGCGCCGTCTGTCTCTGCCTGGGTCAGTTGGCGGCTGGCCCTGTCCCCAGGACTCACTTCCTTCCCCTGAGGCTGGCAACGTGGTTAAGAGCGTGGGCTCCAGAGCCAGGCATTCTAGGTTCAGATCCCACCGCCCTTACTTGCTAGCTGTGTGACCTTGGACAAGTCACTTAATCTCTCTGTGCCTTGATTCCCCCCTCCGTAAAATAGGGATAGATAATAGTATCCACCCCATGTGGGGATTAAATGAGTTAACCTATGTAAAACACTTAGAACAGTGCCTGGCACTGCAGTAAATGCCTGGCTAAATGTGACCAATGTGATAGGATAACTCTCACTACCCGTCCTCCCCTGACCGCATTCAGGCACAATCTTCCAGGCAGGGAGGTGCAGAGACCTGGTCACCACCCCCACTGTCCCCACCCTGGTCTATCCACCATCATCTCTTCTGTCCTGCCTGGACTATTGCAGTTGCTTCCTCACTGGGCTCCCTGCTTCTCCTTACTCCCCAGTCGGTTCACACACGCAACCAGAGGGATTCTGTTAAAGCCTTAGTCAGCTCATATCCCTCCTCTGCTCAGAACTCTCCTAGGGCACCCTGCTCACTCAGGCGGCCCTGCACGATCTGCTTCCCACTGTTCCCCTCCTTACCTTCCCCCCTCCCCTTTGCTCACTCTGTTCCAGCCACACCAGCCTCGCAGTTCCTCAAATATGTCAGGCCCACTCCTGCATCAAGGCCTTTGCACATACCATTCCCTCTGCCTGGAATGCATCCACATGGCTCAGTTATTACCTTGTCATTGAGGTCACCCCTGAACACTGTTTAAAACTGCAATTTTCCTCCCTCTCCACTTCCTTGCTCTTTATTTTTCTCTAATGCACTCTTGCATTTATATGTACTGTTCTGTCTCCGCCTCTACAATGAAAACTCACGGAGGCAGGGATTTTTGCCTGACTTGTTCACTGCTGGAACTTCAGCACCAGGGCAGGGCCTGGAACACAGCAGGCTCTCAATAAACATTTATGGGATGAATGAGTCGTAGTGGGACTCCAAGAGAGGGGTTCTTGCATTGCCTCCTGCCCTCAGGCCCACTCTGGCTCTGTCTCCTCACACAGGAGTGCACAGGCCCTCTCAGGTTCGCGGGTAGACCCCTCTCAGCCCAGTTCACCCTGGGACTCGGGGCCCAGCCTTTTTTCTGCCCTGGCTGTCCTCTTTACATGCCAAATTTTGTTAGTTTTCACATCAGCCCTATGCCAAGGAATCCTGGTGACCCATTTACAGAGCTGGAAACTGAGGCTCAGAGACAGGAAGTGTCTGGGGAAAAGGAACAAAGAGTGACTGAGGGGACAGGAGCTGAATCCAGATCTTCCTAATTTCAAAGATCATATCTTGAGGCCTCAATTCTTACTTAATTTTGTTTTGCCTGACGAGGGGAGATAGGATTTCGTTACAGGATTCTCACCAACAACCAAGGTCCACTTCATCTCTCCTTCCCGGTCCCTGGCCTCTGTCTCTGCACCAATGCTCCAATCTCTCTCTCTCTGCCACCCCCGCCCCCCACCGCTGCACTCCACTCCCACCCTCATATCACTCCTACCCCAGGCGGGCCTGGCTTTCCTCAGGGCTGAGTTGGTCGAATTCCTTGGCCACTTCCCGTCCCAAGAAAGCCTCATGGTCGTACTGAAAGTTCCCATGGGCGTCGTCATGAGGGGCCTCGCTCAGGGGGGCCGCCTGGTGCACTCTCCCCTGGCCATGAGGGCCTGCGTCAGGAGATGGCTTCCCTTGGGCTCCCGGCCCGAGCAGCAATAGTAGCAGCAGAAATGTCCGTCGCCACATCGTCAGTCCCTGCAGAGGGGCAGAGGCCAGCGATCAGGGGTCAGAGGGAAGAAGACAGGAGGATTTGGGGGGTGAGAGGGTGGAACAGGGCAGGCTGCAAAGTTTTGGCCTCAGGAAGGTCTGAGGACGGGTAAAAGGAGGCGGGGTTCGCACAGGTAAAACTAGCATAGGGATCCTATCTTCTGAGGGAGTCCGTAGGGATCCCAGACCTACAAGTAAGGGGGCTCCACGGTAAGACGTGGTGCACGTCCCACGCAAAATGAGGGCTGGGTTGGGCGGACAGCGAGAGATCAGGCTGACTCCCGGGGATCGCTTCCTATCTGGACGCTGTTCTTGGACCCGAGCCACTCCAAGCCGCCCTTCCTGGGCACCCCTCGCACCCCTTTACCCCGTTATGCAGCCAGGCTTCGCTCTCAACGCACCGCTCGGTGTTCTCCGAAAGATGCCCAGTTCGGCGGCACTCCAGCCTGGCCCCGCCTCCGGCCGCGCAGAAGCCCCGCCCTCCGACCAATGAGCGCTCGCGAGGGCATTGAGAGGCGGGGCCGTGGGCGCCGGGCGGGCCGCGGGCGCCCCCGCCACGTCCACAAAGGAAAGCGCGGCCCGCGAGGCTCGGCCCTGCCCCTTTCCAGGGTTGGCGGGGTAGGCGTCGCCGGAACGGCGCGACCGGAGCGAACTACAACTCCCGGCAGACCTCGGGGCTCCCAGTCCGACTACCTCCAGTTGTCTTGGTCCCGAGGCCTCATGGGAAACGTATTTTTTACCTATGTCCTTTTGTCAGCGTAGTCCAAAACAGACGGGGAGCCAAGGGAGGCAGCCTCTTCCCTCAGAGGAGGAAACCACTCTCTTCTTCTGCTTTATCAAGAGGGATTTTGGTCAAATTCAGCCAAGAACTCCTCAAAATTCCTGACAAAAGCGTAGGCACTCAATTTGTGGAAATTATGAATGAAAATTGTGTGACCTGGTATATAAAATTGTCAGATTCCACATGACTAGTTAGCTGCAGGTGAGATTTGAAGCCCAGGTCTTCCACCACGTTCATTCCCCCTTCTCCCCCCCTCCGCCCCCCTCGCCCATTCCTGTACACTCCCTGCCTGAAAACTTGAAATGATGAGAACACAATCAATTCAGGTCGAAAATCATATTATATGTGGAAGTGGAAAAGAGCTATATATATCAAGAGGGGAAACTGAGGCAGGCCACAGGAAGACGGGTCCAGAGGGAGGACATTGGGCCCGGACTCCTTCTGGAGGCTCAGAGATGCCAGGATTCCATCCTGAGGTCGCACAGCATGAAAGGGCCCCCACGACATTAGGTGGTGGCAACCAGAATGGAGGCTACTCAGGCAGTGTCTGCGAATGCATTTGTATCCTGCGAGTCAGCCTCCTGGGGGAGGCCAGGAGTGGGTAGGAGGACCCCGACATCATCAGCACCAAGGGAGATCCAGGAGACTGAGGAGAAAGGAATAGGGGGTCATCAGACCGTGAGACCTTCCCTCTGTCCACCCCTCCTCCATGTTCTTTCTCTCTGAGTTTCTGTCCCCCTCTCTCTGGGTCTTTATATGCCTCTCTCTGGATCTCTGTCCCCTTCTCTCTAGGTCTTTGTCCCCCTCTGTATCTCTGTCCGTCTCTCGGTCTCTGTCCCTCTCTCTTTGGGTCTCTGTCCCCCTCCCTCTGGGTCTCTGTCCCCCTCTGTATCTCTGTCCTTCTCTCTCAGTCTCTGTCACCCTCTCTCTGGATCTCTGTCACCCTCTCTCTGGATCTCTGTCCCCTTCTCTCTGGGTCTCTGTCCCCTTCTCTCTAGGTCTCTGTCCTCCTCTCTCTGGGTCTCTGTCCTCTTGTCTCTAGGTCTCCATCCCACTCCCTCTCTGGGTCTTTGTCCCCGTCTCTCTTTGGTCTCTGTCCCTGAGTCTCTGTCCCTCTATGGGTCTCTGTATGGCTCTCTCTGGGTCTCTGTCCCTTTCTCTCTGGGTCTCTGTCCCCCTCTGTATCTCTGTCCCTCTCTCTCTCGGTCTCTGTCCCCCTCTCTCTGGGTCTCTGTCCCCTTCTCTCTGGTCTTTGACCCCTCCGGCCCCCCTCTCTGAGGCTTCTCCTCTTCCTGCCCCACACCTGGCAGCCCCATCCTAATCCTCCTCCACAGCAGAGCTCCTCCCGTCACTGCCGCCGTGAGCAGCAAGAGGCCGATGACGATCCCAACCACAGGTACCGCGGACCTGGCTGGTGATTCTGCAGCCAGAGAAGGTATAAGTTGGTGAATGAAGTCCCCACCTCCACCCCAGGAGTCAGGACAGGGAACTGGGGGTTCCCATACCTCCCAGCCAGAGAGCCCTGACCAAGTGTCTGGGGGTGGGACTGAGCAGAAGAAAGGCATCAGGGGATGGCCTAGGCTTGGGCAGAGGGTCCCCAGGTTGGATGGAAGAACCAGCCGTAGCAAGAGGAATAGTGGTGAGACTTGCCAAGGGACCTGTTGTGTTCCGACTCGGAGGACGGGCAGGCACAGAGCAGTAGAATGTCAGACTCAGGGAGGGCTGGCAGTAGCAAGGCAGTAGATGGTCAGTCTCGGCAAGGATTGGCAGAAGCAGACAATGATTGGTCAGACTCCATGAAGACCAGCAGCAGCAGGATGGAAGGTGATTTAGCTTCAGGGAGGACCAGCAGCAGTGGGGCTGAAGGTGGCCAGACTCAGAGAGGACTGACTATAGTGGTCAACAGGTGGTCAGACTCAATGGGGCCCAGCAGCAGCAGGGTGGAAGACAGTCAGACTTGGGGAGGACAAGCAACACAGGACAGGCTGTCAGGCTCTGGTAGAATTGCAGTAGCTGGACACAAGGCAAGGGGCCCTGGTGGAGCAGTGGTTAAGTGCTCAGCTGCTAACTGGTTCAAACCCACCAACCACTCTGCAAAAGAAAGACCTGGTGATCTGCTTCTGTAAAGACTACAGCCTTGGAAACCCACTGGGGCAGCTCTACTTGGTCCTATAAATTTGCTATGAGTTGGAATCAACTCGATGGCAGTGGGTTTGGGGAACAAGGCAGTCAGACTCAGGAAAACCTGCTGCAGCAGTGGGCCACCCAGTGGGAGCTCACCCAGCTCCACCGTGAGGGGCTCCGCCAGCCCCGCGTGCTGCACGACGCAGCAGTAGTGGTGTTCGTCACCACTTTTGACTTGTAGTGATGACCAGGCATGGAAGGAGCCGTCGCCATTGGGGCCCTGGTCACCCTCCCCAGTGCCGGCTGCCAGACCGTTCCGGAGGAATCGCAGCTGCAGCTCCGGGGGGAAGAAGGAGAAGGCGCTGCAGGTGAGGACGGAGAGGCCGGGGCTGCTTGGTCGGGCCTTCAGGCGCATGGAGGGTGGTTCTGCAAGACAGACAGACAGACAGGCCTGAGCACCAAGCCCATGGACTCTCAGGGCTCGGCTCAGGGCAGGGCTGGATAGGGACAGAGAGGCCCCCCATTCCTTCCACCACACCTAGCGGACCCTGCCACTGGGCTAAGCCTGCAGGACATAGTTGGGTAAGGGGGAAGCCTTTCCAGGGGAACGGACACCTATCTAACCTACAGGTTTCTCCCTCAGGACCCCATCTCTCATCCTTTCCTTCCTTCCATCGACATATTAAAAAAACAAAAACCAAACTCGTTGCCGTCGAGTTGATTCTGACTCATAACAACCCTATAGGACAGAGTAGAATTGCCCCACAGGGTTTCCTAGGCTGTAATCTTTACAGAAGTAGACTATCACATCTTTCTCCCACGGAGCGGCTGGTGCTTTCGAACTGCTGATCTTTCAGTTAGCAGCCGAACGCTTAACCACTGCACCACCAGGGCTCTTTGGATACAAGGTAAATATATATAAATCAATAGCATTCCTATAAATTAGCTACCAATCAACAACCAACCCATTGCCATTGAGTCAATTCCAACTCACGGTGACCCCATGAGTTACGGAGTAGAACTGCTCCATAGGGTTTTCTTGGCTGTAAACTCTTTTTTCCATGGTGCTGCTTGGTGGGTTCAAACCACCAACCTTTAGGTTAGTAGCCAACCGCAAACCTTTTGCACTACCCAGAGTCCTCAAATTACCTACAAACAATTGGAAAATAAATTTTTTTAATACCATTTACAGTAGCATCAAAAAATATCAAACGTCAAAAGATACTTAGGAATAAATAGAACTAAAGATGTGTAAGACCTCCATACTGAAAACTACAAAATATTACTGAGAAAAATTAAAGAAGAACTAAAGAAATGAAAGAATACAACATGTTAGTCGATTAGAAGATTTAATATTGTTAAGATGTCAATTCTCCCCATATTGATCTATCGATACAATTCAATCACAATCAAAATTCCAACAAGATTATTTTTGGTGGAAATCAATAAGCATAATTTCAAAACATATACAGAAATGCCAGGGCCCTGGTGGCACAGTGGTTGAGAGCTTGGCTGCTAACCAAAATGTCGGCAGTTCACATCCACCAACCACTCCTTGGAAACTCTATGGGGCAGTTCTACTTGGTCCTATAGGGTCACTATGAGTCAGAATAGACTCAATGGCAATGGGTTTGGTTTTTTATATAGAACTGCAAATGTCCTAAAATAACCAAGGCAATATTTAAGAAGAAAAATAATGTGCAGGGGAGGGGCGGAGTCAGCTCTAGGTATGCAAAGACCTATTTGGAGCTGAGCTCCGTTGTGGAATGGGTTGGAGGGGAGAGACAGGTGGCTGGGCGGGGGCTGGTCTTTGTAACAAATGATACTGGGTCAACTGGATATCCATAGGGGAGAGAAATGAACCTGACCCCCCACCTCACACTATATACAAAAATTAAGTTGAGATGGATCATACAGCTAAATGGAAGTGCACACGCCACCCAGAAAATTTTCTGGCCATAAAAATTGAACCAGAATCTGATCAAGTCTCTAGATACGGCTGCTAGCTTGCAGGATAAACAGGAGACAGAGGACCATGTTCAGCAACACCACAGGAATGCAAACAGTAAAATCCCGCCTGATGGAAGCTCAATAGGAAAAATGACTCACTTTCTTCAAAGCAAAAATTGCAAGGAAAAAAAATAAATGATTTAAAGAAGCCTATACATTAAAAGACAATGAAGATGGTGCACGTTAAAATCACTGAATTGCACACATAAAAATGGTTGAAATAGCATATGTTTTGTTACATATATATACTCTACCACAATTTAAAATAAAAACAACCTAAAAAAACTAATGTCCACGTCTGTGTTCAAGGTGAACAACTTTTCACAACCAGCAAAAAAAAAAAAAAGACACTGAAGAGACAGATGAATAAGTGCATGGATAAACAAACTGTGGCACATCCATACCATGGAATATTATTCAGTGATAAAAAGAAATGCTCCATCATGCCACGAAACGACATG